TAGCTCAATTACTTGGAATGGTTGTTCGGAATACAACGAACTGCACGTTGGATGATTCTTTAGAAATTGTAATTTCGGTAAATCATTTTATTTTGTCTTAATGTTATCGTATTCCGTTTAAAATTGAACTCCGAAGGGTTGTTACGCAACAGGAGAATCTTCAAATGCTACATGATTGTCAGATTATTGAAAAATTAAAAATGACGGAGAGAAGCGAAACGGAATTAATTATTTAAAATATGCTTTAAGATTCAAAATAAATGACTTGGACTTGTTAAGACTAGGTAAGTACACTTTTGTTAATTTGATTACGTATAGTAAATAATTGTGTTACATATTTTTATCTTTAGGTTCGGCTCTTCCGTTTATTACCGAAACACAATTCTCGGCAATTCGGTCGAATGGACAATATGTATTAGTAAATCTAATTATTCTGTATGAATTCATAGAAAAAGCAAAAGAATTTTCCTTTGTTCTAGATCGACAGTACATATTACTTATTTGGACTGATTCGAGTAATGCTGCAGTGTCAATCTATTCCATATCTAGCATAAAAAAAATAAAAAAAAAAATATTTAAAATATTTAAAAACAATGCCATACAAGCAATTATAAACATAAGTACGTATTCTCAGGTATTCTCAGGCATTCTCAGATATTCTCAGATATTCTCAGGCAATAATGAAGAACGAAAAAGAAATCTGTGAAGCTTCGTTCAAGTACAAAATCCCCGCAAGTACACTAAACAGTCAAAAATCATATTACTCACCTCCGTTCGCTACATCAGAAAATATGTTTTGGCAGTTAAAATTCGATCCGGTAATTATAATTATTAAATTTAAAGCAAAAATTTACGAATGAATTTACATTAACTTAAGTACTGGTAATTAAACAATAGGAATGCCAAGAGCATCCAGAATATTGCTCGTTTTGGCTGGTAGCCTTGCCAAATCCACAAGAAAATGTTTCTACAGACTTATGGATAGGTAGAAGTGAATATTATGCCACTTGTTTTATTAAAAATCCAAATAAAGAAATGGAATTTGGTCAATTAAAAAACTATAATATTAGGTCTTGTCTTTATGGTGAGTTCCTTTTTTCGTAAGTCTTTTATAATTCATCGCAAATACAGTAGATTTATCATTATAACTTTAAATAGGGTTCGCAAAATTTATTGAAAAGAGTAAGCTTCCAAAAGAAGGCTATCTAACTATTGGTGTTCGATTCAACAAGATAAAATTTTCAACTGAACGGTCCACTCAATTATTTCCTTCTCCTGAATTTCCGCTCGAACTTATAAAAGTATGGAAATCAGAATGTAATAAGAGCTCAATTTCTGACGTACAATTTAATTTTCCAAATCATGAAAATAAAAGTGTATACGCTCGTAGTACCATTCTTAAAGAACGATCCGTATACTTTAAAGCAATGTTACAACAGGGTGTTTGGAATGAATCACAAATATCTGAGTCTGACGATGATGTTAGGAAAGAGGAAAATATAATACCGGTGGAAAAAATACCAGAGAAAACTACAGAATGGCGTGAGAAATTGTTGAATATTGGAAAATTGGCAACTAAGTTTAAATGGCATAAAAAGAAGAAAGACTATACAATGAACATGGATATATCATCAACCATTAGCTCAATTACTTCTAATGTATCAATAACTTGCGTTGATACCTCATTATCAACCTCCTCACCACAAGAAAAAAAGAATCTCACGATTAATATACCTTCGGCAAATGACACCATTGACACGTCTATAACTGATGATAAACTTAATATATCGCAAAAAACAAACACTATATCAGTGCCAACGCTAGCGCTACCACTACCACAATCCCCCTTAACGCTTCATTCTTCACAATTAATTGCACCGCATTCATCTACAACTACTCTCAACATATATCCATCCATAGAAGTACAACCTTTCACTGACAAAACCGCGAAAAAATACATAATTACTATACCAGATTTTCATCCTGATACTTTTAAATACTTTCTTCGTTATCTTTACACAAATGATATCAAATTTTATTCATCACCAAATCACCATCGCACACCTTGGGATTTTTTTAAGATAGCTGATAAGTATCTTGTAACTGAATTGAGAGATTTGGCAAAAGTAAGGATATTAAGAGAACTGACCCCGAATAGTGCGGTAGAAATGTTTTTTGGGATTGATTTAGTTTGGGAAGATATGAAAGAACTTTTATTGAAGTATTTGGTTAGGAAGTGGGAGTCTGTTAAAGTATGTGAGAATTGGATTAAGATTGATGAAGAGCTTTGTAAAAATGATGATGAGGAAGAAGATGAAAAAGAAATTAAGAGAATGCTTTTTAATGAAATTATGGAACAAGTAAAATTTATTAACTAAGTTTTAATTTTATTTGTATAAACAAAACTTGATAAAACTTTTAAAAAATAAATTGATCAAAATTAGCATTATGTATATATTTTTGTAATAACAAATATTCTTGTAAAAGATAATTTTGTATTTTTTTAATTTATAAAGTTTAATTTAATTTAAAATTATTATAAAATGTAATAAGTATATTTATAGTATTTAATACTAGTGTTTGTAGTCGACATAAATTTATCGACTCGATAAACTGATAATAAAGTCGACTAAGGGCGTTCTCAAGCAATACTCTCAATGTGATTTAGGTGTTCTCAAGCGCCTAAATCAATGGATCGAAAATCAGTTTTTAATTGGCGGAAAATAATTTAGCCGATCAAGTGAGTCAATGAAAAATAAATTACTAGTCAAAATTCGAATAAACTAATCAAGAGAGTTATTATTTCGATTAATAAAACCTGGAGCTGCGACCACCAATTTTTCATAGAGTTTGCTCTGATTGGCTAAAATTTAAAATCCGCAATTCGCACAATAAATTTTCAGTATATCGATATCGTTACCATTTAATCACTTCAATTAATGGTAACGTCTCAGATCACTTTCAAATCACATTGAGAGTGCTGTTTGAGAACGCCTTTAATCATATGCAATTATGATAATTGAAGTAATTTTAAGGGTAGGGTGAATTTAGATCAATTTTCATATGATCTGCAAAAAATGAATACATGCTTATTATAAAAGTTTTTGATTTTTAATTAATATTTATAAAATTTTTATAATCTATACTTTAAAATAGTATATATCTTTTTATAAAATTTTGTAATCTATTAATTATAAAAAATTTATACTTGTATATATTGTACTTCAGATGCATCTTTGCATCAGATATAATCTGATACAAGTCAGATGCTAATTTTTAGATAATATACATATTGGTCATCTGAGATGCGTAGATTATAATCTTAAGTGCATGAGTTGTCAACTAATATATGATCGACAATTATGTGCTTAAATATTTTATTGTTACAAAATAATATCTCGAGACAAAATTCCTAGAGCTAAGATAAATACAAAAATAAATTATTAACAATCTGTCAAATTTAATCTTAGCTCTTTAGAAATTCTGTCTTAAAATATTATTTCATGATAATACAGAATTTAACAAAATTTTTAATAAAATTGTTTAATTGCATCACAATTTAAATCTATATTTTATTAAACTTTACTATAACAAATATACATATATTAATCTTTATTAAAACAAAAATAACTACTATAACAACAGCTTATATACTTTGCTTTATTCTTCTATATTTGCATTTCTTATTATCATATGAGCTCTTATAGTTACAAACAGAATATAATACTATCCTTATGTTCTAAAGTCTTGCTACTTCATAAATAGATATTTGATTTGATAGAATTTCATTAAGTTCAGAATAAGTAGTAGTTCTGAGTATTTCAAGCTTACTTGCAGAGTAACTAATATTGATTATACTAAATTTACTACTAAGCTAGTATCAGTTCTCTTCAGTTTTCTCTAAAATTTTGTAAAGTAAGACAGAATAATTAATACTAAATCAATCAATTCTTAGAATACTTACTCTTATGAATTCACTGATTTTAAAATCAACAAGCTTCTTTTTTTTTAATATCTGTTATGCTATTTTATTAGTATACTATACAAGATTCATTCGTATAGTATTTCATACTGCTTAAAACTTAGATAGCTATTAGTTATATCAACAAATACTCTATGATTATTAGGTAAAGACACTAGATAATAAATTGCTATTAGACTATATACTAAATAATTAGTATATAATATTAGCAAAAGTACAATATATTTATTATTATTGTTTGAAGGTACTAAGTTTTAGGATAAAAACACTAGACAACAGTTATTAAGTAAAGATACTAGATAATTAAATTGCTATTAGACTATATACTAAATAATTAATATGAATATTAGGCAAAAGTATAATATATCTACTATCATTTTTTTTTTTTAAATTCAGCAGTCATGCCAAAACTTTATTTAGGTTTGTTTTTATATAAGAAAAACATTATTTAATAGCTAAATACCCTTCAATATCTAATTTTTTAAGTTTTAACTCATCTAGTTATCTTATA